AGGTACATTTTATTTGTTGTTGTTTTATCATTGCAATTTACTCTTGTTCTAACACATTATGCAGGTGCTGATTACAATTTTATTTTCAAAACAAAATAATTTTAAAAAATTAAACAACATTTTCAAAACAAAAACAATAAAAAACAAAAACAAAAACATAACATGTGCTTTTGAATTTATGGGAGTTCCTTGTAGGAGGTAACCTACGATTGCTAACGAGATCTCCTCGGTTTAAATGAGTTTCACAACTTCTTTAAACTAAGTAAGTTCAAAAGAAAATAGTGGTACCGGAACGAGGGAACCGTGAGATCCTAACCGGTGTCGCTCTAATCAACTTTAACCCCCAATAATGACAACAAAACAAAAAAAAACTTGAAACACACATGGTACAATCTTTTGAACGTTAAAATTTAGGACTGCTATTTCGATGAGGAACTTGGAGCAACTTCGTGGGCAGCATGACAATGAGCTTAGAGCGGTCTACAAGTGGAGGTGGTTGTCATTCTACAGCAGCAAAACAAGTTTACACCAGCTAAACTTTTCTAGTCTAAACAACTTATAGGATTTCGAGGTAGCTCGCCCCAACACTATGTAAATCCTCACCATCTTTTAGGCTCCTGCACAGTCATACTGAGCAGTATAAGTCCTAACTCGCCTTAGGTTCCGATGTTGTCTAAAACGACGTAAAACCTCTTATCTCTGTGGGCTCTTTGCATAACCAGTTATTATGCAAGTGTAAGTCCCAAACAATAAAATTGACAGGATTGAACACTCAAACAACATCCTCTCTAAAACACAACCACACATTAGGATATATCTATATAATTATATATTATGCAATTTTTGTGCTGCTTGTCATGGCCTTTTAGTAGTGTAGCCTAGCGTTAGTTCTTTGGGGTCACGGGTTCGATCCAGTCTGAGTGAATCTGTCTTGCAGTGCATGATTTGAATCAAAATCAAGTAAGGTTCAACCAAGATGCAAATTAGCCTATAAGGCAAATTTTTTTTATAAATTTATTAGTTTAAATAAATATTAAAAAATATTTAAAATTGACAAAATCACCACGTCAGTAAGCAAGATGGTTACGTTTGCAAAATTGCCTGCTAACCTGATGCTTTTTCTTTGCCATGTCAGCACGTAAAATCACATGATGAGGTGTCTATTTTGTTAAAAACAATTATTGAGGATATATGTACATACACATATATATATATATGCGTTGCGCATCTAGATCAGTTGGTCGGGCATTTGCTTGTCAGTTTTAAGTCCCCTCTGGTCTGATGTTCGATTCTCCCCGGTGGAGGGTGTGATACTCAAATTGTGAGGCGCATCGTAATGGTCGGGGCTCGTGTATATATATATATATATATATATAAAA